TTTCCATCGACAGCAAAAATACTACAGGTGGGGGCCGATGCCCCCCCCCCCACCAGTAATAGGGTTGATCGATAATAATGTCTGATACTATGAAAAAGCAGGAATGGCTATAAGCAATTAATGTAACCCTAGCTGATAGCTGCTAACAAACACACTGAACCTAATCGCACCAAACCTGCACCAAATTTGTACTTACCAGATGGCCGTCGTGAACCGGCTACTATCCATTGCGTGGCCACCCCACCTTTCCTGTTTCGCGCTAGATGGCAGAGCCATCAAACGCCTGATTGCATACTGTACCGCAATGTCGCTTCTGGCGGTTATAGCCGCCTGAGTGCATACTGTCCGGCAATGCCGTGTTGAAAGTTGGTTCGCTACTCTTAAATGAAAACACAGATTATAGTGGTGGATAGTGACGGAGAATGAGCGGCAGAGGATTTAGAAGCATTGGGACACATTATTAAGTAAGACTACATGCCAACTTTCAGCGCAATCGGCCCAGTAGTTACGGAGATATTGCAATTGTTGCAAAACCAACACCTCTTCGTTTTGCACGTGGCACGTGCATAAGTGGTCACCCACGTACATCGGGAATAGTCCAATACTTGGTAGAAAGAATGAAGCTACCCTGCAAAAATTACCGCATGTAAATCGGTCAAGTGGTTGCTGAGATATAAGCCTCGCAAAAGCGTGACCACGGCCGGCCGGCCTAGAATACAGGTTTACGCGATAACTGTACAAATTCGAGATATATGTTTGAGGGGATTATTAGTTTGGCCGTTAAAACTTGTATGTTCATGCCAGTAGGGTTAAGTTTGTTTACTTACTTCATTTAGCTGTATGGTAGGCATGTAGGTATATGCGCTTTTCGAGGAGCGCTGCAGATCCGAAAGTTTGCTCGCTTCGCTCGCACTTTGCTCGCTTCGTTCGCTTGATAATAAATTTATTTTATTTACCGGTAAAACCTGTACCGAATACCTGTACCTGCGCCTATGCCTGATCCTAATCGCAAACCTGTATTCTTAATATCCACAGAGTTCAAATTTTAATGATCTCCCGAGCTGGTTCTCATCGTTTTCACTCAGTTTTTTTAAGCGAACAACTGAGCCTAAAGCACGTGCTCTCTGCTCGGCGCCGGCCTCGGCCAGCCTGGGGCAGAGATGCACGCGCTGACGCGGCACCCGTGGTTCGATTGCGCCCATTTTTTGATACGATGGTCCGCCCCACCCAAAGTTTGTGGTCACCAAATTTCACGTCGATACGCGGCGCCGTGCCGGCGCAAGAAGACACATACGGCTGACACACACACAGACAACTTGAAATTTATTAAGTAAGACTAGAATACAGGTTTACGCGATAACTGTATGTTTTGATATGTATGATTAACGGATGCATTAGTTTGGGTGTAGAAACTTGCATTTTTATTGGTATTATTTGTGTAGAACTGGGTAACTGCTTTTAATTGAACTGTAAAGCATGGTGGTGATGCATGCGAGTTGTTCGAGCCCTTTGTAAGTTAGGATGTTACTCAATTCAACCCTACCCTACCCTACCCTACCCTACCCTTACACTACCCTACCCTACCCTTACACTACCCTAACCTACCCTACCCTACACTACCCTACCCTACCCTACCCTACCCTGCCCTGCCCTACCCCTACCCTACCCTACCCTACCCTTACATTACCCTGACCTACCCTATACCCTACCCTACCCTACCCTACCCCTACCCTACCCATACCCTACCCCTACACTAACCTACCCTACCCTACCCCTACCCTACCCTACCCTTACATTACCCTAACCTACCCTATACCCTACCCTACCCTACCCTACCCCTACCCTACCCTACCCTACCCCTAACCTACCCTACCCTTCCCTACCCCTACACTACCCTACCCCTACCCTACCCCTACACTAACCTACCCTACCCTACCCTACCCTACCCTACCCCTACACTAACCTACCCTACCCTACCCTACCCTACCCTACTCCTACACTACCCTACCCCTACCCTACCCTACCCTACCCCTACCCTACCCTACCCTACCCTACCCTACCCTACCCTACCCTACCCTACCTTGCCCTACCCTACACTACACTACCACCGACAGTCCAGGTTTCAGCTAAATCGGGCCAGAAACGGCTGAGATATTGCAAAAACAAATTAATTGTATTTACTGGCGAATCCTCTTGGCGAGCGGTGCCTTGTGTCGGCCTTCGTTGTCAAAGGTCAACGACCTCCCGGCTCTGATGCTTTTCACTCAGTTTTTTAAGCGAACAACTGAGCCTAAAGCGCGTGCTCTCTGCTCAGCGCCGGCCGCGCCCAGCCTGGGGCAGAGATTCACGCGCTGACGCCGCACCCCTGGTCCGATTGCGCCCATCTTTTGATACGATGGTCAGCCCCACCCAAAGTTTGTGGCCACTAAATTTCATGTCGATACGCGGCGCCGTTCCGGCGCTTTAAGACACATAAGGCATGACACAGCGATGATGACAACTTATAATTTATTAAGTAAGACTAGAATACAGGTTTACGCGATAACTGTTCGTTTGGATAGATACTGTTGATGGGGCCATTAGTTGGGTTGTCAAAACTTTTATGTTTATATAAGTAGGGTGGTGTTTGGTAGTTACTTCTCTTAATTGTATAGTAGGTAGGGATGGCTTTTCGAGGAGCACTACGAATCCAAAGGTTTGGACATTGAATCATTTAAAAAAAAAACACGCCCGCCCGCCGCAAACCGCAAACGCCGTAAAAATAAAAACGACCGCCTCCAACCGCAAACAACACCGCAAACGCCGCAAAAAAACGCCCGCATCGCGCGCCCGCCCGCCGCCAACCGCAAACGCCGCAAAAAAATAAAAACCGCCCGCATCGCACGCCCGCCCGCCGCCAACCACAAACGCCGCAAAAAATAAAAACCGCCCGCATCGCACGCCCGCCCGCCGCCAACCACAAACGCCGCGAAAAATAAAAACCGCCCGCCCGACCGCCGCCAACCGCAAACGCCTCGAAAAAAATGAAAACCGCCCGCATCGTGCGCCCGCCCGCCCGCCGCCAACCGCAAACGCCGCAAAAGTAAAAATGACCGCCTCCAACCGCAAACAACGCCGCAAACGCCGCAAAAAATAAAAACCGCCCGCATCGCGCGCCCGCCCGCCGCCAACCGCAAACGCCGCAAAAATAAAAACCGCCCGCATCGCACGCCCGCCCGCCGCCAACCACAAACGCCGCAAAAAAATAAAAACCGCCCGCATCGCGCGCCCGCCCGCCCGCCGCCAACCGCAAACGCCACAAAAATGAAAATCGCCCGCATCGCCCGCCCGCCCGCCGCCAATCGGGAACGCCGCAAAAAAGCGCTATTCTACCCATATACATGTCCTACCCCTACACCCTTCCCATACCCTTCTCATAGGCTCTATTCCCACCTTACTCTAGTGCATTCCTATAACCACCAGTAAGTCGTAACATAACATACCTACGTTCTTAACATGAGCACTGTAAACTACTCTAATTGTATTCTATCACATTCGTTTGTTCAATATGTAAAGTGTGCGTTAGTTATTCGCAATTAGTTCGTAGTCTAGTTATACCTGCGTGGTGGCTATCATTCAATTTCCGCTCTCCGCTCGCGCTCAGCTCACTGCAGCTGACCCCGCGGCCCGGCCCGGGACGCGTCATAGTTTATTCATGATCGTGACTCATCGTCTCCAGCACTCTGCGCCGCGCCGCCGGTGTGTTATCTACAAACGTCAGCTTTTAGTCTGTCTCCTGTCAAACGCGCTCTATAGACTCTATACCTAGAAGTCAGCCGCTGCCTGCTAAGTGCCGTCTGATGTCTTTGCAACGTTGCGTAGCCGGATGCACTTAGGACCACGAGACCAGCGTGTGACGCTCTCACTCACGTGACGCATGATTCTCGATCGTACGACGTGGTGATGACCAATCGCAACTGTGCAACCATATATGGAACAGCCAATAGTAAGTCGCCACGCAGGGCTAGAGGGCCACCGCCCTTAGAGTAGGATAGTTCTGCTGAAGTCACCCGATTGGGGGGACGGAGAGAAGACCCAGAGCCATCATCGGCGTCGGACGTGCTCTCTCTCGCTCGAGGAGACCTCCGAGCTCCACAGCCGCTGGACACGCACCATCTGCTCCGCGTGCTTGTGTAGAGAAGACGCCCAGCCTCAGACCACGCCGGACGCGTTTCTGCGTCGGTCTCGACCGACACCGTAGCTGACCATCGCTCTGTGTTGTGCTCGTAAGACAATACACCTGGACCGGCAGAGCATCTCTTCTGGCAAGGGCTGACAACAACACCGGCGCGCCCCGCCCTGGGCACGAGAAACCGCCGTGTTACATTGGTGCCGAAACCCGGGACGTCGGATCGAACCTGCCGAAGAAGCCGTCTTCTCACGTCCATCTGCTTCTCCGTGCGCCAACTTTTCCGTCCGAACTCTGCCGCTGACGAACTCTGCCGCTGACGAGCACCTATACAACGCTGCTGCGCTCCAGCTGCTACCAGCCAGCTCTCACGGCTACTACATCTGCCGATACTTCACAGTGAGCCGCTGAACAATAGCGCTCCAAAAGTGAGTACGCCAAAGCTCAGCACCGTTTATCTTAATCAGTGCCAGCTCAAGGTACAAGTACCCGTACAAGTACCAGTCATAAAGGGCTCTGAAATCGAACTGTACCAGTCAGGCCCGATCTGCCCGAGTTATACGGCAGCCATCTCAACCAGCGCTCGATCTAAGCCGCTGATAACTCCAACAGACCGTCTCTCGTCATCGAGACAAAGTCTAACAGGAAAGAGAGTTCAACTCGCGCTCTCCAACGAGGTCAACTGACGTCATCAGAGAGGTCAACTGACGCTCTTCTGCGAGGCATCTCCATCGAGTGACTTCAAAGGCGTTCCACACCCAGCGCTACAACCAAACTCTCTCGCGCGTAATCGAACAGTCCGCCCGGCGCGTAGTTAAAGTGATAGTGAGAGTGAAAGTGAACTGGCGAACAACCCATCTTCGGTAACGCCAACAAAGGTACGTTTCGACATCTCCCGAGTGGCACTGGATTTTGATTTTACTTTTGCAAACTAAAAGTTCAGCGTAACGTAAATGGTTCACTTTATGATTTTGTATTTTGGCTCTCAATCGTATCAATCATGGCTCAATCCAACTCGTCCCACCTGCATGCTCCTGGTTCCGGGTCCCCAAAATCCTCGGTGAAGGTAACAAGGAAAAATACCAGTGTTCCCCAACACCAGCCTGCAAAGGACCGAGAGTTATTAAGAATAAATCCATTTGGCGAAAAACTAGACTTATGGCGTGCTGAAATTAACAAAACCGACCTATTCGATCTAAGTTCTAGTGAGCGAGCCGAACGCCTAGAGCTATTATCAATTATCAATGAAAGGGACACTTATCTTGGACGTAAGGATCACGAAACCCAACAGCGACGAGTCAATCAAGCGCCCATTCAGCCGGAACCAAAATACCCAGATCTCGAGAAACTCAGATTCGTGTGATCACTCCGAAAAGCACGCAGAATTAGTGCAGTTGATGACTACGCCTGAAACAGAATTACGATGTTTAGATAAGCCCCTATGATGTTGCAAGAGTCTCTCTTTAGGTCGGCATTTACCTAAGAGAGGAACATATATTAATTGGTGGCCGAGCGCGGTCAAGTCGCGTAAGGTAACTGAGGTTGGTCTGCTTTTCTGAGTAAAGCCAACAAACGTATGAGACAGGTGCACTGCAAATTTTCAGAACCCTTCAGCAGCAATAGGTGACCCCAGCGTTATTAACTCGCCACAGTTACCGGACGATGGTGAGCATGGACGTTACCGCTGCCACAGAGGCTGCACGATTAGGTCTGAGGTCTCGAGCCTCTCGAAGGGTTGTGTACGACGGAACGTACACCAGAGCTGCGTAGTAGAAGAGACAAATGTCTATTTTTTATGAGTGCCCTGCAATCGAGAGACGAAGGTGCAATCTGGAACTGATTGTCTGGCAGTTTAGCTAGCAATCCAAATGACGCTGACGTTCAACAGCCATTTGCCGTGATGTAGCACCATGATTGAGGTGACTCATCGGATTGTTGCCGGAAGTTTCCGAATACTTAGTTTTTTTTTTTGCATTGATTTGGCTATCTCTAGCCCGATGTAATAAACGGTCGTTGTGGTAGAGACCGTAGGAGCCACAACGATGCATTGGTCGTTGTGATTGGGACCATAGGTGTCACAACGGATGCATTGCGGATGGATGTTTTTGAGAATGAATGCTGGTGCTGATAATAACAAACACGCCTATGATTACTAAAGGCCCTCTCCTTGACTGTTGCTATGCTTTTGCGCTAACCACTACTGCTCTCGCTTTATGGCTACAAACCGTTCCTTCCTTGGTCCTGCCAGCTTCCACTTCTCGAGACTATCACGAGCCAGCTATAACTTGACGAGTGTCACATTGTGCTCGGCTCGCTAGCAGAGCCGGCACGTGGTAACTGTAAACGATGCACCGGCATCACTCAGCGCTCAGTCTAGTGCCACAACGGATATGCCGTGACGGGCCACGTATGGCCAGGCGTGAGGTCTCTTTGTTCCTCTTTCCCCAGTGTGCGTGCGAGTGTTTGTGTATGCGCAGCGCCGAGCCTGCATCACAATGGACCAAGGAACTATCCGAATCACCGTATGATTCAGTGTTCCGCACCGAGCGCAGACGTGCGCTACCAAGCGAAGTGCCCCCGCGCACCAGCAATCCGGGTCACCAGTTGACTCGACGGCCCACGATCCGGGTCACCGCCGAAATGACTGACGTCATGGACTACGATAACCGTTTTCGTGGACCGCAGCGAGTGCGCTAGTGACGTTCAATGCGTTCACCCGGCAAAGTCCCGCCCTCCCGCCCCTGTATTGTGTTCTTGTCGCGGATGTGTTTGTGTACTGCGTGTGACTCCCCCGCTGTGTCCTTTGCCCTTCAGGCGTCGGCCTCTGCTTTGTCGTGGCCAAAGCTCTTGGCATGGGTGGGGGAGGTGTGTAAAGTGTGCGTTAGTTATTCGCAATTAGTTCGTAGTCTAGTTATACCTGCGTGGTGGCTATCATTCAATTTCCGCTCTCCGCTCGCGCTCAGCTCACTGCAGCTGACCCCGCGGCCCGGCCCGGGACGCGTCATAGTTTATTCATGATCGTGACTCATCGTCTCCAGCACTCTGCGCCGCGCCGCCGGTGTGTTATCTACAAACGTCAGCTTTTAGTCTGTCTCCTGTCAAACGCGCTCTATAGACTCTATACCTAGAAGTCAGCCGCTGCCTGCTAAGTGCCGTCTGATGTCTTTGCAACGTTGCGTAGCCGGATGCACTTAGGACCACGAGACCAGCGTGTGACGCTCTCACTCACGTGACGCATGATTCTCGATCGTACGACGTGGTGATGACCAATCGCAACTGTGCAACCATATATGGAACAGCCAATAGTAAGTCGCCACGCAGGGCTAGAGGGCCACCGCCCTTAGAGTAGGATAGTTCTGCTGAAGTCACCCGATTGGGGGGACGGAGAGAAGACCCAGAGCCATCATCGGCGTCGGACGTGCTCTCTCTCGCTCGAGGAGACCTCCGAGCTCCACAGCCGCTGGACACGCACCATCTGCTCCGCGTGCTTGTGTAGAGAAGACGCCCAGCCTCAGACCACGCCGGACGCGTTTCTGCGTCGGTCTCGACCGACACCGTAGCTGACCATCGCTCTGTGTTGTGCTCGTAAGACAATACACCTGGACCGGCAGAGCATCTCTTCTGGCAAGGGCTGACAACAACACCGGCGCGCCCCGCCCTGGGCACGAGAAACCGCCGTGTTACAAATATCATGGATATTATTAATGCTGTAACTGGTGAAAGGTTGTTCTCTTGAAGATTGCCAAGTAGGTAATCGAGTGCGCATACCTACCCAATAAGTGCGGCTCGCAAAGCCGCCCAAACATTCATTTTTACTCGCTAGATGGCAGGAGCGTCAAGCGCCTGAATGGACGCTGTGCCGCAGTGCCGCGTCTGCCGTATCACCGCCTGAATGCACACTGTACCGCAATACTGTCTCTAGGGCATATGCACACATACAGATGGACACGTTTGTTTTGAAATTATTTTTGTTTTAAGTGTGACCAGATTTACCCCCGAGATACTGATCCTGAATACGCCTCTAGCTAAGGAAAAGTCGCCAAATTTCCAACCCCTAAGGCGATTTTCACTCGACAGCAAAAATACTACAGGTGGGGGCCGATGCCCCCCCCCCCCCCCACCAGTAATAGGGTTGATCGATAATAATGTCTAATACTATGAAAAAGCAGGAATAGCTATAAGCAATTAATGTAACCCTAGCTGATAGCTGCTAAGAAACACACTGAATCTAATCGCACGAAACCTGCACCAAATTTGTACTTACCGGATGGCCGTCGTGAATAGTCGTGAACCGGCTACTATCCATTGCGTGGCCACCCCACCTTTCCTGTTTCGCGCTAGATGGCAGAGCCATCAAACGCCTGATTGCATACTGTACCGCAATGACGGTGCTGGCGAATAAAGCCGCCTGAGTGCATACTGTACCGCAATGTCGTGTCCGCCGCCCCACCTTTCCTTTTACGCGCTAGATGGCAGAACTATCGAACGCCTGATTGCATACTGTACCGCAATGTCGCTTCTGGCGGTTATAGCCGCCTGAGTGCATACTGTACGGCAATGCCGTGTTGAAAGTTGGTTCGCTACTCTTAAATGAAAACACAGATTAGGGTGGATAGTGACGGAGAATAAGCGGCAGAGGATTTAGAAGCATTGAGACACATTATTAAGTAAGACTACATGCCAACTTTCAGCGCAATCGGCCCAGTAGTTACCGAGATATTGGAATTGTTGCAAAACCAACACCTCTTCGTTTTGCACGTGGCACGTGCATAAGTGGTCACCCACGTACATCGGGAGTAGTCCAATACTTGGTAGAAAGAATGAAGCTACCCTACAAAAATCATCGCATGTAAATCGGTCAAGTGGTTGCTGAGATATAAGCTTCGCAAAAGCGTGACCACGGCCGGCCGGCCTAGAATACAGGTTTACGCGCTAACTGTACAGATTCGAGATATATGTTTAAGGGGATTATTAGTTTGGTTGTTAAAACTTGTATGTTTATGCCAGTAGGGTTAAGTTTGTTTACTTACTTCATTTAGCTGTATGGTAGGCATGTAGGTATATGCGCTTTTCGAGGAGCGCTGCAGATCCGAAAGTTTGCTCGCTTCGCTCGCACTTTGCTCGCTTCGCTTGCTCGGTAATAAATTTATTTTATTTACTGGTGAAACCTGAACCTAATACCTGTACCTGCGCCTATACCTGATGCTAATCGAAAACCTGTATTCTTTAAATCCACAGAGTTGACTTCCCGAGCTGGCTCTCATCGTTTTCACTCAGTTTGGCAAGCGAAGAAAATGAGCTTAGAGCGCGTGCTCTCTGCTCGGCGCCGGCCTCGGCCAGCCTGGGGTAGAGATGCACGCGCTGACGCCGCACCCGTGGTCCGATTGCGCCCATCTTTTGATACGATGGTCCGCCCCACCCAAAGTTTGTGGTCACCAAATTTCACGTCGATACGCGGCGCCGTTCCGGCGCAAGAAGACACATACGGCTGACGGACACGCAGACAACTTGAAATTTATTAAGTAAGACTAGATGGCCATGTTTACGCGATAACTGTATAGAATCGATTGATATTGTTAATGGGGCCATTAGTTTGGGTGTATGAGGTTATTTTTTTTTTTTTGTATGAGCTAGGTGAAGTTTGACATTTGGTTTTAACTGAACTGTATGGTATGCTGGTGCTGATTACCCGGGGTTGTTCGAGTCTTTCGGATGTTGGGCCCTTATGCACTCAAACTTAACATAACCTACAAATATACATACCCTACCTCTACCCTACTCTACCCTACTCTACCCTACTCTACCCTACCCTACCCTACCCTACCCTACCCTACCCTACCCTACCCTACCCTACCCTACCCTACCCTACCCTACCCTA